AAAGTACTGTTTGAAGACAAATTTTACTGTTAATTCTCATAGTACACCTCATTAAGGACAGAGGTCCAACATGGGGAGTAAGTGCACAGTGACTCCTTCTGTTTATTTAACAATTGACACTCTTATTTATGTCAGTGACCACCCAAGGCTCTTGTCATGAGCTGCCAAGGCTTTGGAAGCCTTTTGAATCCACAAACTTTGACATTATTTAGACAGGGCCCTATGCAAAGTGGAAATTCTCTCCTCCCTTCAGAGAAAAGTACCTCCTTCTTTGATGGCCCCTTCTTTCCACTGGGGTCTCACTCACTGAGATCTTTCATGCAGAACCGTTTTTGCCACTATATCTTGGCTTTCCATGCCCGAAATGCTCTAGTGGGATTTTCAATCAGATCCAAATGCTTTAGGGGCTGATTCTGAGGTCAGAGTGCTGTTTAGGGCATTTGTCATTCCATGAGTCTGCTCCTACGCAGCATCTTAACCACTGCTCCAAATGCCCATTCTCAGCACTGCATTCTGGAAATATAATAATACAAGAATTCTAGCAATAATTGTGCATTTCTGAATACTATTCACTTTCTATAAACTTTACATACTTTGAGTCCATCCTTGTAATAACCCAAATAAGTAGCACTTCTTATTGCTTCTAGTTTACACATGAGGAAACTGAATCCAGATTAATACAAGAAGTCTGTCTTTGAAGTCATGACTTTTTAAAAAACTTTTTTTTTACTTGAAAGTCATAGTTACACACAGAGAGAAGGAGAGACAGAGAGAGAGAGAGAGAAGTCTTCCATCTGCTGGTTCACTTTCCAATTGGCTGCAATGGCTGGAGCTGTGCCAATCCGAAGCCAGGAGCCAGGAGCTTTTTCTGGGTCCCCCATGCAGGTACAGGGGCCCAAGGACTTGGGCCATCTTTTACTGAGAAGTACTGACTCAACACTTTACACTGCCCTAGACATTTAATATTTTCTTCTGTTGCTGTTGCTGTTGATGTCACCAAGTCTTTTCTTATGACTTCTTTCTTTTCTTTGGCCCAGTATTCTTGATTTCTCTCTATGTTTTAATTCTTGGTTTTCACAGGAAAGTGTTTAGCAGTCTTCCTCTTTCTGTTCTTGTTTGACTTATGTTTTGGGGTGTATCTCACTGCCATTGTTTTAAGCATCTATGCATTTGTGACTCCCAAATGTATATTTTACCCCATTGTCTAATCCTGAGCTGTTTAATAATATATTAATTTCTGTTTGTTAAGCACCTATTTTCCAAGTACATGTAAGACACTAGACATTTCCACTTGGATCTTATTCAGACACCTGAAACTCTTCTCCAAATCCATTTTGTTCATTCTTTGATTACTCATCTTTGTGAGATTTAATGTTAATTTGTTGTTTAACAAACAAAGTTAAAAAAGTCTTTTACTTCTTTTTCTATTCTATCATTTCTATTCTACTCCTGAAATAATATTTCAAATTTCTTTCTTTGATCCACTTACTACAATCATGGCTCAGGCTCTCACTGTATGTTTCTTAGGGAATTGCATAGTGTACTTCCTTTACAACACAGTTAAAAGTGTCATCTTTTTCATAAGACAACCTAGTGATCTTACATTTTTCTGTGACATTCATTTTATCTCATTTCATAACATGTAAGTTTTAACACCTTCTTTTCATGACACACAAGGTTCTGCTGAAGGTGGAAGTACTTTGCACAGGCTAGACACTCTTCAAGGGAAGAACATCTGATTTCCCTAGTTTTCTTTCAATCAAGGGGACTTTACACTAAAAACTGGGCTTGCAAGTTTGCAACTCTTTAAAACCCTTTGAACTGAAGAAATACTGGGTTCAGAGAAGATACTTTGCCTTTTGCCAAAAATGTTTTACTGTAACAAGGAAACATCTTTGCTGTAGAAGACATACATGTGATAGAAAAGCAGGTTTTTTTGATGCAACAGTGTCTTTGAGGATCACATCCAAAGAGATGTGGAGGATGAGAAATAAGTACCCATATTCTGTTTTTAAGATTTATTTTTATTTAATTGAAAGGCAGAGTTACACAGAGAGAAGGAGAGAGAGAGAGAGAGAGAGAGAGAGAGAGAGAGAGAAAGTCTTCCATCATCTGGTTCACTCTGTAAATGGCTGCATCAGCGAGGACTGGGCCAGGCCAAAACCAGGAGCCAAGAGCTTCTTCTGGGTCTCCTGCATGTGTACAAGGGCCCAAGCAGTTGGGCTGTCTTCTGTTGCTTTCCTAAGAACGTTAGCAGTGAGCTGGATCTGAAGTGAAACAGCAGGGATATGAACAGGATGCTGGCATCCCAGGTGCTGGCTTTACTTGCTAAGCCACAAGACTGGCTCCAGTACCCACATTCTTGACTTTAGTCTCAGTTCTTCAAGGGAGGATGACCACAAAAGAGAGGTCTACACCAAATTTGTTTCAGAAATTTTGAAATCCCTAAATGAATTGTATCGGCTTTACCTGAATTATATAGCCCTCAATTGACTTTTTAACCAATCACAAAGAAAAAACTCAAAGTTGATGATGGCTGAATAGAGAAAGAAGAGCCAATTAGGAGAGAAAAGAGAATAATGAAGTAGAAGAACCTGAGAGTTTTATGCAATTTTGTAGACAGAACTACTATTTCATCAAGAGAATAGAAAATATGAATTCAGCAATGACAACAGAATCAAGAAATGAGTACACATTTGTCTATTAAGACATTGGTAGACTTGAAAGAAAGTTCTAGAACAGTTATAAATGCCAATTGGAGAAATGATGGGATCTTGGGAGAAAGAAACTCAACAGCTAGATTGTACTAATCAGATAAAATATATATCTGTTCTCACATGATATTTTTAAGTAATTCTGTACCAATAATGGGAAGCTGTCTAAAGAACACATGGACCTATTTCTATGATAGGCAGTCATCTTTAACAATCTACCAGTCCTAGAGAATATAGGTCCAGTTTATTTGACACCAGTCAAATAAGAGCTTTCAAGCTTTTCTTTGTTTTATTATATCCCACCCCTTCACTCCAGCTCAGGAGTTGTCAAAAAGCTACTACTGATAGGAAGAGTAGGTAAGGAAGAAAAAAGAAGCTTAACACACTCTCTGGCCAGAAGACTTGCATACAGAAGGCATTAGGTGGACAGAAGGAAAATAGTTGTAACTTTGAATGAATATCAAACCATGACCACTACATAGTTTAGAGTATTTTAATATATTGAATCAAGGCTGATTTTCATAAAGTGATTATTAGATTTTTATTATTTAAGAGTGATAAAAACATCATGAAACATTGATTTTCAGCTAGAAGAAGGAAAAGTCTTTCTTCCATCAATCACTTGTTAAAAATAAAGTTAATTAGGGCTGGCGCCGTGGCTCACTTGGTTAATCCTCCACCTGTGGTGCCAGCATCCCATATGGGCACCGGGTTCTAGTCCCGGTTGCTCCTCTTGCAGTCCAGCTCTCTGCTGTGGCCCGGGAGGGCAGTGGAGGATATCCCAAGTGCTTGGGCCCCTGCACCTGCATGGGAGACCAGGAAGAAGCACCTGGCTCCTGGCTGCAGATTGGGGCAGCATTGGCCGTAGTGGCCATTTGGGGAGTGAACCAATGGAAAGAAGACCTTTCTTTCTGTCTCTGTCTCTCACTGTCTAAAACTCTACCTGTCAAGTAAATAAAAAAAAATAAAGTTAATTAGATACAAAATGATTCTGCTTCATTGTCTCTCAAACTTTTTTTTAAACAAGATAGTTATAGACCACATACTGCCTGTGAATATCCAGGGATAATAAACTGATTTTCCCTGGAGAACTTGGTTTATTATTTTACATTATAATAATTCTAAGATATTTGTTTTCATATTTTTCTAAGATAATTACATTTTATTTAAGATAATTTAAAACTTTAAATGATCTGAGATAACTTAAGTAAGTCTAAGAACTTATTTTATCTGGCCAACAAAATATCCACATTTTAAGTCAATGGCTTTTTGTACCTTCCTGAACTATACAAACAAGCTTATTATTTTTTATAACTAAGCACAATTATCATTCTTACTCCTACTCTTGTTTCCAAGCTGAACATCCATAATTCACTAAATAATTCTTTTTTTTTTTTTTTTTTTTTTTGTCAGGCAGAGTGGACAGTGAGAGAGGGAGAGACAGCGAGAAAGGTCCTCCTTTGCTGTTGGTTCCCCCTCCAATGGCCGCTGTGGCCGGCGCACCGTGCTGATCCGAAGTCAGGAGCCAGGTGCTTCTCCTGTTCTCCCATGGGGTGCAGGGCCCAAGCACTTGGGCCATCTTCCACTGCACTCCCTGGCCACAGCAGAGGGCTGGCCTGGAAGAGGGGCAACTGGGACAGAATCCGGCGCCCCAACCGGGACTAGAACCCGTTGTGCCGGCGCCGCTAGGTGGAGGATTAGCCTGTTGAGCCGTGGCGCCGGCTTCACTAAATAATTCTAACATGACATTTTTGTTGATTGTCATGACATTGTTTTCTAATCAATTAATTATTGTGATCATTTTTAATTTTTGATTTCACAGTTCCTTCAAATCATGAACTCAAATATGTCTTGGATAGCTTTGTTTTCTGACTCAAAAGTTGGTTTTAATCTTTTACTGGCAATAGTTTTCATTTTCCAAGCTGTGTAACAACTTAGGAGTCTTACATCTTGTTCTTTCATCTTGCAACTATATTTCTGTTATTTTAGCATTTCATTTCATAATGATTCTGTTGGCTCATTCTACAGGAAAGGGGTCTGAAGTGATAGACATTTTGACAGTTGAACAAAGTTCAGGGAAGAATAGAACAGACAATAGAGTTCTAGACAGAAAGTTAAAAAATGGAGGACAATTTTTATGCTTATAATTATAGTTAATAGTTGATGAGTGTGAACAATTGTTTCAAATAATCTGTTTGTGATTTCCCCTCGAGGATCTTGACCAGCCCTTTGACCCAATTCAGCAAGTCTGGCTGAGGCTCAAATGGAAAACTGGATAATGGTCAGAAGCATTCAACCCATGGCTTTCAAAGGAGGCTTTGTTCTTCTTGGTTTTATAAAGGAGTGGGCTTGAGGGTTCTCCAGCATCAAAGGGAGAGACATCATGGCTTCCATGAAGATCCTGCTGCTCTTGTTCTCAATGGTCCTGCTGGCCTTGACTTCAGCCCAGAGGATAGATGATGGTAAGAGGTGGAAACAGGGATGATACAATGGATGAAGGGAGAAAATTCGTGGAAAAGAGCAGAGTTGCATTGTAGCTGTTCAGAATTTTTGGAGTTTATAATCATAGAATATGTTAATAAGAGAGGAGCCAGCATTAGTTTCTATTTTTCACTGAGCTTATGTCCCAAGTCAGCATCTTCATGGTATAACTTTTGCTCTTCTAACATAGAATTTTTAAAGTTGTGTATTCTGTGTGAGATATGACATCTAAATTGAGTAAAAATTCTATGATTTACTATATTTCTTGTTTATGTCATATCAAACACGTGTACATAGAAATGCTGAATTTTAATTAAATTTCATTTGTTCAGTCAAAATTTTCTTATTTAGCAGGAAGTATTACATTCTTCCCATTACATTCACTTCTTTCTTTAAAATATTTATAAGTCTGGTCACGTAATAAATAGTTTGTCAGGCAAGAATTAATAGTAAACCTAGGGATTCCTAGAAGTGAATCATTTCAGGCAATAGTGGGGAATGCATACTTAAAAAGAGAAGTTTATTATCTTTTAATATGTGACTCTTAAATAGAAAAGATAGATGATGCATCTTGATGGTACCAAATATCAGGATGCAAAGTGAAAACCCAGATAATTATTACAATGGCCATCAAAATCCAGATAATAAACATCTGGCAGGACAAACAATGAGAAATTGAAATGAAAATAATTTATTTTCTTATAAAATGCTTTGGTATTTTGCAGAAGCATAAAGAAAAGAGTACTTTTCAACAATATTAAATTATTTACTACTACCAATATTAAACAATATATAAAATTGTAATAGATTTTCTGAGTTTTCAAATGTATGCCATATAGTGACATAAAGTTGTTGCTTACAGGGAAGGGAATGCTCAAGTGTTAAGATTTCTCTGACCGGTTGGGGCGCCAGATTCTGTCCCGGCTGCCCCTCTTCCAGGCCAGCTCTCTGCTATGGCCCGGGAGTGCAGTGGAGGATGGCCCAAGTGCTTGGGCCCTGCATCCCATGGGAGACCAGGAGAAACACCTGGCTCCTGCCTTCGGATCAGCGTGATGCGCCAGCCGCAGCGGCCATTGGAGGGTGAACCAACGGCAAAAAAAAGGAAGACCTTTCTCTCTGTCTCTCTCTCACTGTCCACTCTACCCGTCAAAAATTAAGAAAAAAAAAAAAGATTTCTGAAAGGCATATAACCATTTGTCATATTCTTCAATGGGAATTGTATGAAAAAATTCTTTGGGACTCAAACTCTATGCCTTTTGATTGGCAGATGGCAGACAACAGTAAAGTTCTGAGGAAAGGCATTTTTAAAATATACTGGGAATTTAGTTTGCATTTGGTCTTTTATATACGCATGCCATTAATTATTCACTGCAACCATTTGAGGTACATATTATTACCTATACTTTACATTTGAACTATGACTTTGTGAATACTTTTCACAGCTTATATAACTACAAGTGGCAAAGCTGTATTATAGACTCAGCTCTATCAGATTTCAAAACCTGAAGTATTTCTGTCTTGTTCTGTGACCACTCTTTCAGCTTTTACTTAATCTGAAATGAGTTAGACTTATCCTGAATTTGTTGATTATTTCATATGTTGGATATTTAATATCCCTGTTCAACAGAGAAATTCCTTTGCTGTGCATCTCTTTGGTTGACAAATTAATATCTTTCTTGACTTCCTTCCCAAACTCTCCTGCTTCAGCAGGGAAACATTCAAATCAAATAAAGTGTAATGCTATGTTTCTCTGAATATTTCTTTTCATCTTTTCCCCATTTTTTTAAGAGAGAGAGAGAGAGAGGTTTCATTCATTGGTTCAACCTGCAAATGCTGTAACAGACAGGGTTAGGCCAGGCTGATGCCAGGAGCCTTGAACTCAATCTGGGTTTTCCATGTGGGCAGCATGGACCTAAGGACTTGAGCTGACATCTGCTGCTTCCAGGGTATGCATCACAGGAAGCCAGCTGTGAACTGGAGGAGCCAGAACTTGAACCAAGCCTTCTGATAGGGGATGTGGGCATCCCAAGTGGCAACTTAACCACTCTACCAAGCGCTCACCTCATCTTGGGATATTTTATAGAGTATTTTTTTTGGTGAAATGTGAATAATATTGAAAAAATAGCTTAAAATGTTGTCAAATAATGGATGTTTGAAAATATCACACAATCTGTTGATGAGGCAAAGATGAGTTTATCTTTACTGTAGTAAGGAAGAAAGCTACTTTGCTTTAATAATGCCTTGGAGGAGAAAAGACAAAATTCAGTTATTTAAAAATTAAGTTTAGGATCTGGTTTAATAAGTGTTCCATTGAGAATAGGTAAAATTTCTGACTTAAAGGATTATTATAGACAAGGCTTCTAAGGTGTTAAAAAGAGATCTTGGAAAATAGACAATCAGTGACATAAAAGAGTTGAGTTCAATGTTTCTTTAGATGGGTTTTGGACAAATTCCTGAAATGTAGAATAGTTATTTGAAGACTTCATCTTTCTGGGCAAGAATTTTTACTATACCGCAGTAAGAAACAACGAAATCCAGTCATTTGCAACAAAATGGAGGAATCTGGAACACATCATGCTGAGTGAAATAAGCCAGTCCCAAAGGGACAAATACCATATGTTCTCCCTGATCGGTGACGACTGACTGAACACCAAGAGGGAAACCTGTTGGAGTGAGGTGGACACTATGGGAAATGGTGGCTTGATCAGCATAGCCCTGACTGTTAATGAACAACTTAATACATTATCCCTCTTAGTAGTTTTTTTTTATCTGTTCTACTTAATATGACTGGTTTAGATCTGTAATTGATGCACAGTTATTCTTAAGTGTTGAAAATTAACTGAAATGTGATCCCTGTTGAACATGGTGGTGGGAATGGGAGAGGGAAGAGATGTATAATTTGGGACATGCTCAGGCTGACTTGCCCCAAGTGGTGGAGTTGGAAGCATACCAGGGGATTCCAATTCAATCCCATCGAGGTGGCATGTACCAATGCCATCTCACTGTTCCAGGTGATCAGTTTCAGTTCACAGTTGGTCATGGTGAAGGGACTGGGAGTCAAAGGGAACACATAGACAAGTCTAGTACCTGCTAACGCTAACCGATAGAATAAATAAAGGGGAGAGTGATCCAACATGGGAAGTGAGATACTCAGCAGACTCATAGAATGGCAGATGTCCTAAATAGCACTCTGGCCTCAGAATCAGCCCTAAAGGCATTCAGAGCTGGCTGAAAAGCCCATGAGAGTATTTCAGGCATGGAAAGCCAAGACACTCTGGCAAAAGATCTCTGTGAGTGAGATCTCAGTGGAAAGAACAGGTCATCAAAGAAGGAGGTACCTTTCTCTGAAGGGAGGAGAGAACCTCCACTTTGACTATGACCTTGTCTAAACAAGATAAGAGTCGGAGAACTCAGAGGGCTTCCATAGCCTTGGAAACTCATGACTGGAGCATAGGGAGATTACTGATGCCATAGACAGGAGTGTCAATTGGTAAAGTCAACAACAGGAGTCACTGTGCACTTACTCCTCATGTAGGATCTCTATCCTTAATGTGCTGTACATTGAGATTTAATGCTATAATGAGTACTCAAACAATATATTTCACTTTGTGTTTCTATGGGGGTGCAAACTGTTGAAATCCTTACTTAATGCATACTAAACTGATCCTCTGTAAAAAAAAACAAAAAAAACAGAAATTATCAATTCCCAACTTGACTCTCCCTGGGATTAAACATGACAATAGGTCTGCTCTGATTTCATCATCATTTAAAAAAATCATCTATTATTTTTCACTTTATGTTTCTGTGTGGGAGCAAACTGTTGAAATCCATACTTAATGTATACTAAGCTGATCTGTATATTAAGATAATCGAAAATGAATCATGATGTGAATGGAAGGGGAGAGGGAGTGGGAAAGGGGAGGGTTGTGGGTGGGAGGGACGGTATGGGGGGGAAGCCATTGTAATCCATAAGTCGTACTTTGGAAAATTATATGCATTAAATAAAAGTTTAAAAAAAATAATAAAAAAAAATAAAGGAAAAAAAAAAGAATTTTTTGAATATTAAAATTATGTTAATATAGACAGTAAACTACATAGTAACAGGTGGTATGTAGTCTCAAATTTTCTCTGGCCAAGATGTTACATAATCTTTATCTACAAGCATGTGGCTTTCCATTTCATTATATACAAATATATAATTAGTCAAGTAATTGACTGCCTTTGTAGTGTTCATTCAGAAGCAATGTTCAGGATTAAGTTCCTACACTGGGAAATTGTGGTTCATTATATATCTAAATCTTATAATTCTTTTGTTGTAGAGTTCTCTTACTCATTTGCCTTTTATATTTTACTTGTGTTTTATGTATTCATTTACTTTGAAAGGCAAAGTGAGAGATAGAGGGAGACACACACGAGGGGTGGAGAGAGAGAGAGAGGATATTCCATCTGCTGGTTGATTCCCCAAATGACTGTAACAACCAGAGCTGGGACAGGCCAGAATCAGAAGCCAATAGTTCCGTCCAGGAGGGGTACTTGGTAAGACCCCAAGTACTTCGCCCATAATCCCATGCCTTCCCAGGTGCATTACTCAGAAGTTTGATCAGGAACAAAGCAGCTGGGATTCAACTGACATGGGATGCCAGCACTGCAAGCAGCAGTTCAACTTGCTGTGCCACAACACCACCTCCTCTTAGGCATTTTCTTAACTTTTGAAAATAAATCTACTTGAACTTCTACAAATGCACAACTGGGGTCTTATGAAGTTGTGTTTTGAATTTATCTTCTTTAAATTCTAGGTAGTGTTTCTGAAGATGTCTTTGAAGAGCAAGGTAAATTTATATTCTAGTGTACTTTCCTTCAGAATGTATTGTATTCTTTTCTTACCCTTAATGTTTTGTCTTTTGAAATTCCTTATAATTGTGTTTAAGGAGTCTTAAAGAGAGAAAGAGAATGCAAAAACTGTACGTTGTACTGGTCCTGAGTAGTAATGTTAAATATGCAACATCTTCTTGCTTTTCCCAGTGGAATCCACTGTGTCAGAGTTCTAATGTCTGAATATCAGGCAAACATTGACACTCCAGTCATTTGTAAAATGCTTTTATCTAAATCTGTCTGTAACAAATCATTAATGATTGAATAACACAAATTATATGTTGACATTGTTGATGGTAGCAAATGTCTGCCCCTAAAGTAAATTTTAACAGCATAGGTGAGAGAATGTGTGTAGCAGGAATAGTCAGAGTACAAGAGAGAGCTAAAGGATTATAAATTATGCTGCCAAAGTGGTAGAATTGAGTAAATGGATCAACCAACTTGTCTGCTACTTAAAGAAAACATTTATACATGAAGTCTTGTTTTGCCTAGTCTTGTTTCCCAGTTCCTACCTTGTCAATTTATGATTTCATTTATGATGAAATTTATGATGTCATTTCAAACTTCATTTATTTTTGTTCTTCCTTTGCAGGAGCCCTTGAAGAAGTTGAAGAGCTACAGTGTGAGTTATTTTGAGTTCAATTAAGTGATTGAACATTTGCTACAATTGAATTCCAGGAATTACTGAATTACTTCTCTAATCTAAAATCTCTACAGTTTTTATTTTAGTTTAAGACCTCATATTTAAGCTTTAAAACTTCCTTTCTTAACATTTCTGTTATACAGGATTTAGTTTCACACTGTAAAAGAAGAACAAAAGGTCAAAGGAAACAACAAATGAATGATTTGCTTTAGGTGTGAGGGCTCCTTTAAACCCACTCAATGTGGGGTTACCACTTTTGTTCTTTTTCCTGCCTGAGGTACCTGGCCTCAGCTGCCATTGTGAGGGCGTGCATATCTGAGGATTCCTGAAAGAAATGCTTTGATTCAATATGTTCTCTCCCTCAATGTTAATTCAACAAAATCTAGTACTTAACAAGCACTCTGGCAGGACCCTGTTGTCAGCTCTGTGGACCCAATGATCAATGAAACATTGCTCTTATCCTTAAAGAACTCAGATTCTTATGGAGGATTTGACCCAGTCTCAGGAGGTTCACTGTTAGAAAAGTGGAGAAGAAGGTATTATGTGAGTTCAGAGCAAAGGAAGAAAAGGAAAGCCTCATACAGTAGGTTGTATGTGTTCCAGTCCTAAAATACATTGCTACATCCATGTAGCTATTATAGTGTTTTTGATAATGTTAAAATACAGAATATTTCACTATGGTCAAAGTAAATATAGTATAAAGTTGGAAAAATAAATTAGTTTCAGATTGTGAAGATTGCTATGAATGACAAACTGAATTTGTTCTATGGCAAAAATGTTTTTATTTTAGAAAATTACTTATTTACTCTTATTTATTTATTTGAAAGACACACAGGCAGAGGGACAGAAAAAGTATCCAATGCTAGTTCATTCCCCAAATGCCAGCCTCACCTAGGTCTGGTCCAGGATGGAATATGGAAGCTGGGAACTCAATTCAGGTCTCCTACGTGGGTGGCAGGAACCCAGCGACTTGAGTCACCGCATGGCCTCCCAGAGTCCACATTAGGAGTCAGAAGTTGGTGTGAGATGCAGATGTCTTAACCAGTGTCTTAACAGCTAGATCAAACGCCAGCACCACAAAGAGACTTTTGAACAGGGTAGTAATGCAATCATTTCTTTCTCAATCTGACAATAATGAAGATTAAGCAGCTTGAGGGTACAGATGACTTCTTTTAACGTTTGAGCCTTAGTGGCTGAAGTATCTAGGACACACAAATATATGTGGAATTCACAAGAGAATGATTATAAGTGAGAGAGATGGCCATGGGATTATAAATTGATGCAAGAATTGGTGAGGGCTTAGATTTAATCATGGATACTAAAAATTTGCAAAAGGAGACAATATAGGGAGGGTTTTATTTACTTTCTTTTTGAGAAGCTATAAATGTAACAGTTTGTAGAAGGTGACAGAAGAAAGGGGAGAGTGTCATACGATTGTTCTGCTTTGGGAAAGGATGGGATGGTTGATATTTTCCCCTTGTTCGATAGGCTTGTGTCATGATATCATATATACCTACAGATAAACATTGTGACTCTGGTGGTTTCTCTGAGATATCATGAGAAGTCTGGTGGCTTATGGATGACTTCCTGTATATCATGGGAAGTTATGGGTAGACGGTTCAGGTGTAGAATAGTAGGTGTAGAAAAGTCAAAAGACAGGGGTGAGTACATGGTGATGGGGCAGACGAGATACCCAACTAAGCATGTGCACTCTGAAGTGTCAGAGTTTCTTTGTTTCTTCTTTTTAGCACACTGGGCCCTCATTTCTATCTAATACCACGTAAGTGAGTAAATTATTACTCTTGCTCAATTCAGGCTATGGTAGATTACATCCTGTACTTAATTAAGCTGACAGATTACCATTCTCTTTACTTATACTTTTCTGGATCTATGTTTTCTTGCCTAAGCAGCTGATGAATTAAGTAAAGGAAGGCCAAAGGAACCCCAGATCAAATCTCAAGGAGAATTTCAAGGTCAGCATGGCAAGAAGGGCAAAAATGGAAGAAAAGGCCAGAAGCAGCAGAATGGCCCCAGCAGTCAAACTTTCCAAGGAGACCAGGAGCTTGCACAAGGAAAGTCACGTGGTAAAGGTGGCCAAAAAGGCCAAGGCCGCCAGGGTGGTCAGGGTCAGCAGGGCGGCCAACGTGGAAGAGGCAGACAGGGTGGTCAGCGTGACCAGTGACCAGGAAACCAACTGAAGATGGCCTCCCTAGGTACTAATCATAATTTTATTCAATAATTAGTGATTTTTTTCTGTAAATTTCCTAATTCTTCATTCTTGCTTCTATTCATTTCTTTCATTTAAAATTTTTGATTTTAAGTTCTGTTAACTCATTTGCCTAGATTTGTCCTTGCCACAATTCTCCTTGTTCCAACTTTACACATGGAAAAATTCTCCATATTCACAAAGTCTAGTGTTATATTCACCTGGAAGATTTTTCTGACTCTTATTCATTGGTCAATTCAGAACCTCTTCAAGGTATTCCTTTCTTCTCTTTCTCTTCTCTCCCTTTTCCCTCTTCTAGTCTCCTCCTCCATCTTCCCTCTCTTCTCTTAATGTGTTGTCTTATAATGAGAATACTCAATTAAAGAGATATCAGGCATAGGTCATATCCAGGCCAATTTATTACTTCTGTCTAAAATCCTTCTCTTTGTTTCAGAAACCCATGAAGATTAATTGGTGATCATGGATTTGTCAGAAATGAAAAGTTCTGGCCTTTTCTTTCTCCAACTTTAAAGCAGCAATAAAATCATTAGCATTCAAAGCTTGGCTCATGTTTTCCTTCTAGGATCATGGTGCTCAGTTACAAGACAAGAACAATAGGCAGGGAGGCATAGTCCTGCGTGCACTCCAGGGCCTGTGTTGTGGAGCTATATGGGTGAACTCAGACTTTCAAAATTGTGGGAGGGCTTAACTGTCGTCAATGTTTGAAAGACAGAAATTTTATTCCTGAGATGAGTAATCAGATTGTCCACATAGACACAATTTTCTCAGTTCAAACACAGAGAAATTTATCTTGTAAATTTCCTCGGTCTCTGGCAGTCTTTCAATGCATATGTGCCATTTTTGTCTATTTCTGTTCATGGCTGAGATTCAAGACGGCCTCCAGGACCTCGAAAGAGACAGACTCACCACCCAGTGTCAGATAAGCTTCCTTTTGTTTTAGAGACATATAGATACACCTCATGTACAATATTTAGCTCATCCACGTGGATTTAATTAATTCTTCAGCACATATGCTCATGTGAAGATAATGCAATAAAATCTGGAGACGGCCCTAGAACTAGGCAAAGTGCAAAGGAGGTGAATATCATGAATTGACTTGTTTTCCCTAGAAATTCACTTGCTACAATCCTAACCTGTTTCTCAGCATGGGACCTTATTTGGAAACAGGATTGTTGTAGATGTAATTAGTTGTGACAACTTAATTTACTGGATTAGGGAAATTTAGACACAGACGTGTACTCAGGGAGAATACCGTGCGAGGATGAAGAGAGAGAAAGTGGAAATGTAGCAGAAGCCAAAGGATGCCGGAGAGTCGCAGAAAATCACTGGATAGATAGGAAAGAAGCAGGAACAAAGCCTTCCTCACAGTCTTGCCTTTACTTTGTCCTTGGACCTATAGCATGGAGCTGTGAGAGAATACATTTCTGTTAATTAAGCCATCCAGTTTGTAATCCCAGCCCTAGCAAACCAGTACTGTGAGAAAATTCACTTATCAGCACTTTTTAAGAATGAGCATGGACTAATTACACAATACTTACCGTATGCCACTTCCAAAGTCTCAGTGGAGATCAACAAAGAAAGAGGTTGTGGACAGCAACATTTATTTGGTGAGTTCAGTACAGTCAAGCGAGGGATTGTGCCTAACATAGAAGTTCTTTCTTTTTCTGAGTGTCACAACATGGCTATATCTATGGGTAATAACACATGAATGCAGGTGTCCCAAGAAGATCAATTGTAAAATCAAGTAAGGATAAAGTTAAGCCTCAAATGGGAATTCCTACACAGGGTGTAGTTTAATTTATTATTAATATTAATGAAGGATTTACAGCTTAAGAGAAAAGAAAGAGAAAATAATTGTGTTTAATCTGTTTTTTCCATATTCAGTATCATGTTTAATTTGAGAATCAGATTCAGAACTGGCTTTTTACTTGGAAGCAGAATTAAACTGATTGTTCTGCTTTACTCTGATTTATTTTCCAAGCGATTCTGAAGTAATATGACCTCTCTGTGAGTGAGTGTGATTGTATTTCACAATGCAAAATGTATGAAAATATATGAACTGGGGTAGAAACATTTCAAAATGACTTAGCTGAGGATTAAAGAGGAAATAAGAAGCTGTCTCTATGTTGCAATCGGCGTATGCACTCCAGTTTTCCCCAGTTAAAGTATTTATTGGAAGCAGTTTGTGAAGTGACTTGGAGCTTGAAGCTTGAGGAGAAATAGTGCAGTACATTCTTTTAAAAAGTTGTTATTTATTTAATTTTAATTTAATTCGAAAGGTAGAGAAAGATGAACACACACACACAGAGAGAGAGAAAGAGTGAGAGAGAGAGAGAGAGAGAGAGAGAGCGAGCAGCTGGTTAACTCCTCAAATGCCTAACAACAGCTAGAGCTGAGCCGTGCTGAAGCCGGGAGCCTGGAACTCAATCCAGGTCTCTAACATGGATGACAGGGACCCAACTACATCAACCACAACCTGCTGCCTCACAAGATGCTCATTAGTGGGAAGCGGAAATTGAATCAGAGCAAGACTTGAACTCAGGCTGTCTGATATGGGGTGCCAGCATCCAAAATGGCATCTTAACGACTATAACAAATGCTTGCCCCTGCAGCAGCTTCTTAGTAGTTAACTTTTTCTAATATAATTCAAGAAACAATTTATTTGATGGTCTATGTATCTAAATCCTAAGAACACTATTTCTTTTTGTTACCACCGCAGATTCCTAGGCACACAAACGTCAGACCAATAATAATTAGACTAAACGTCTAATTATTTCTTTAACTTGCAAGGGACTCAATCAATCTTTTAAATTTATCAGTTTAATCAATGCATAGATTTTCATTGTCAGAATCAGTGATGAAAAAAACAGCATATGAAACCAGTATAGAAATTTTGATTTTATCAAATTTATTGAATAGAATATTGAACACCAATTTAAAACATTTTTCTTTCTATACACAAAGCTCATGGCTACTCCAGGCTGGTTAGTAACAGTGTTGATCACCCTGAAATATCTTTGCTAAAACACAGGTATGTTATTTTGATGGAAAGTCCCAAATAGATATCTCATTGTTGCCTTATATAAAATTTAAATATTTCTGTAGAGTATAGAGATAATTTTCATTGAATAAATAGTTTCCTTGACATTCTCAACATTTAGCATTTAAATACATGAACTTTTGTTTTAAAAAAGGTTCATTTATTTGAAAGACAGAGTTACAGAGGGAGAGAGAAAAAGAGCTCTTCCATTTGCTGATTCATTTCCCAAATTGCCTCAATGGCTGGGGCTGTTGCAGGCTGAAGAAAGGAGCCAGGAGGATCTTATGGTCTCTCCCATGGCTGCAGGGGCCCAAAGACTTGGGTGGTCTTTTGCTCCTTTCCCAGGCACATCGACAGAGAGCCAGACTAAAAGTATAGCATCCAAGACTTGAACTAGTGCCCACATGGGATGCTTAGCATTGCAGGCAGCAGCTTAACCCATTATGCCATAATGCTGGCCCCTACATAAGCTTTTGATTGAAGATCCCATCACAATCATTACTTGGTACAGTCTGAGTTTTCCAAAAATAACCTTACATGTATCACCTATGGAGAAATTTTCTTTTATAAGCAAAGAACAGTTCTATTTAGGCTCTCTATTGTATGTAAACTTTCTATGTAAATTTCCCCTCTTTCACTTATAAAGTGTATTTTATAAATTAATCTATGATCTTAAAGTAATTTTTAAATGTACTATGACATTATTTGTTTTCATTACAGTTTATATCAATAATAATTACGATATTTATTTCTGGTGAATTGTACAACATTTATTAACAACTATCACCTTACTGAGAATTAACTAAAGGTAGAGCATAGTTGGAAGATATGAGAAGAAAAATCTATGTAGAACCAGGGCATGCCATCTGCTTTTCATAGGGATGCAAATAACAGCAAGATGCTATTACAGTTGTTCAGAATTAGTCCAACAATTTTGCATGCAAAGAAATGATTTAGAACTAACCATGAAAATGTCCTTTCTGCTCATGGTTACTATTAGGATATTAATTTCTATTTATTCTGAAGCATGCTTTGCAAAAATACCAAAAGAAGAAAGGAAGATAGATAAACAGATAAAGATGGAAAGAAGCAAAGTTAGCTTTATATGAGATTATCTAGGTTACAGTTACAAGTATACTAAATAGTTTGAAAAGTTAACCACACAAAAGCAACATCAATGCAAGAATTGAAGGTAATTAAGAAAAATCTTCTCTTATAGAAAACAATAGCTTCTCTTCAGATCATTTATGTTGTTACAGTTTTCTTCATTTTAGAGTACACTTTACTTTCCAAAGCAACCTTCCAGATGCTTGTCTTAATTTTTTGTTCCCCAGGATTAAGATAAATGAATGGCTTGAGGGATAGATTAGAGCTATCAACTCACCCCAAATCACAGCTAATTCAGTCTCTGGCAGAAAGTAGCTGGAGGTGGCAATGAGAAAGGCCAAATAGTAGGCAACAAAGAGGAAGAGAAAGGAGATGACTGCTTTCATGGCTCCCATGTGGGCTTCCGTGCTGGGGTCTCTACATCCTGTGGAATTGAGCTGCATCTTTCTGGTGTGTCTCCACAGAGAGAGGATCAAGAGGAGAAATGAGATCAGGGATGCAGAGAAAGGGAGCAGCGTCAACAGGTTGAGATAGATCTTAGTAGAAGCATATCCAGCTTTTTGTACTCTGCATCTCAACGTGATGTTTGTTTTCTTCTTTGTCTTGACACAACGCCTGAAGTCATCATTCAAATTCTCAGTGACTGGAAGGCTAATAAACACAGAGAGGGCCACACACCCCAGGAGAATGCCGGGAATCATTCTGTCAATTCTCCACTTCATCCAGAGAAAAAGGGGGTGGAAGAAATTAGCTATCTTGAGGAAATAGAAAATGCTGAGGCATGCGGCAAACCAAACATTTAAATGGTTAGTTAGGGTCCAGAAGAAGTCAATAATTCTCATTTCTTTACCAGTGGCATAGACATCTGGATACAGCACCAAGATAAAGCAATCTAAGAGTATCACACACAACAGCCAAAATCTGGATATGGCCAGGCTCGTGAGGATTAAATCAATGGAGGCAATCTTCCTGCTCTTGACCCAGTCCATAGAGTTCACCAATCCAATAAATGTGTTTCCCAAGATCCCCAATGAAAACTCTCCAACTGCTATAACCATTAAAGTATTCATTACCTCTTTTGTTGTAGTCTGTCTTGTGATGGAGAATGGAATGATAACTGAAGATGGTAGCTGTCTTCATTAAATTCTAATTACCCTTGACATGTGGTTGTGATCCTTGCTCTGGCCACTGTATGGCCGTTTACATTCTCAGCAGGTTGTACTTTTCCACATATGGTTTATTAGGCTGAGCTACTGTTTGCAAAAATGCAAATTGGGGCAATTCTATTTCATGGTCCTGCATTTTTTTTCTGAACTATGATGAAGGAGCTATTTTTTTTTTTTAGAAAGGACTATTAATTACCTTTATACTTGTCCCTTTACTTAAAATGTTCTCAAGGACACTTCAGGATAATTGTGATGGCATCCTCGGTATTTATGTATGTCCAAACTCAGCAAACTGTACACTGCACGTGTGCAGTTCTTTGTATATAAATAATGCCTCAATAAAGTCTGTGAAAAATAAGATTTTTCTCAAGAGCAGTTTTCTATAACAGAAATGAGTACATAAAATTCCTTACTTTATTCCATTCTCTTTCTTCCCCCTCATCAAATTGCACCAGAATCTGTAGACCCCCAACTCTTCCTCCTAATAGAAGATAGTGGATTAAATTTATCACATTTTTTTTGGCTAACAAACTATTTCTTGGTTTGAACTGGCTTTTCCAATTTTGAGTTACTGAGAAACATTTTACTACATACTATTTCCGTGGAATAATCTTGTGTACTCAGACCTTCTTGGAAATGCATATCTTCTCACATCTTTCCTTAAAGGACAAATTTTTCATTCTCAAGATGTAGCTATGACTTTTAAACAAACTGTGTGATGATGTAGCCATGTTCTGAGGCTATGTGCTTTCCTGTGATCTTGGAAAAAGATCATTGACAACAACACAAAATTTCTACTTCATGTGTACTCCAATAAATAAGTTTATAGTAATTTGTTTTTGCCTATGTGATTTTTAAAGGACCTTTTGTTTTGTGTTAGAAAATAAGTGTAATTTTGTGCATGTTGAAGAAGACTGAAAGTTATGTTAAGTATGTTAAGTATAGTTAAAAAAATTCTCTAGAGAGCAGTTTGTCACAAGCCTACTACTTTGAACCCCTACTTACTGTAATCACTGGAGATACTTGAAACATTGGCAAGATAGAAGACAAGACATGGAAGAAAACACTCCAGACTATCAGGGTGAGACCCTCACAGGAATACTACCCCTATGAAATATTAATTTCAGATAAACCTGCATAAAAATAAAAAGTTCATCCCAGCACAGAATTTCAGGTACTTTGTAGAATATATTAATACCATATTTCATCAAAAGCATATGAATTATCCTGTGTTATAGAACAAATAGCAACTTAAATAGACAATTAGAAATATAACTGATGGATTTTATATATTGAGGATGGTAAACATCAGTGTTTCACACAATGAATTTTACATAACAGGCCGGCGCCGTGGCTCACTAGGCTAATCATCCGCCTTGCGGCACCGGCAAACCGGGTTCTAGTCCCTGTCAGGGCGCCGGATTCTGTCCCAGTTGCCCCTCTTCCAGGCCAGCTCTCTGCTGTGGCCAGGGAGTGCAGTGGAGAATGGCCCAAGTGATTGGGCCCTGCACCCCATGGGAGACCAGGAGAAGCACCTGGCTCCTGCCATCGGATCAGTGCGGTGCACCAGCCACGGTGCGCCGGCTGCGGCAGCCATTGGAGGGTGAACCAATGGCAAAGGAAGACCTTTCTCTCTGTCTCTCTCCCTCACTGTCCACTCTGCCTGTCAAAAAAATAAATTAATTAAAAAAATATTTAAAAATTACATAACAGGAAACAAAAATGTATTAGTAGATTGAATTAGACTAGAAATAAGCAGAAAATAGTGGCAGTGAAAGCAGAAATGTGGACAGATTAGAACTGATATGACCCTAGGCATGTCAGATCCACTAATTCCATAATTTTTTTTGACAGGCAGAGTTAGATAGTGAGAAAAAGAGAGAGACAGAGAGAAAAGTCTTCCTTCTGTTGGTTCACCCCACAAATGGCCGCATGGCCAGCGTGCCACACCGATCCGAAGCCAGGAGCCAGGCGCTTCCCCCTGGTCTCCCATGTGGGTGCAGGGCCCAAGCACTTGGGCCATCCTCCACTGCCTTCCCAGGCCACAGCAGAGAGCTGGACTGGAAGAGGAGCAACTGGGACAAAATCCAGTGCCCCAAGCGGGACTAGAACCTGTGGTGCCGGTGCCTCAGGTGGAGGATTAGCCTAGTGAGCCACAGTGCTGGCCTAATTCCATAATATTCTAAAGAGGAGAGATTTCATGTTCACAGTAGGACCAAATTTTATTTGGTGGCTCTTAATTCTTGTGCTTTTTGTTAATTACTCTGTATGTTATGAGTGTGACTTGCCGTTTTAGTGACAGTATGTGACAGGTTATTCCATAGTATACTCTAACTTCTCCTGATTAATTTCTTTTCTTAAATCCTGAGTGAAAACACTTACAAGGCTTGTTAAAGAAAGGAACCTGAATGAAGCAGTCTGCTATTAGTTATTCCCATTGTTTTTTCCAGATTGTGAAGACCTTTAGACAAACTCCTTAGAGGAATAAACTTAAGTGAGTCTGAAATTCTTTGAGAGACAACATAATTTCAGGGAAAATAGATGGAAAGCACCAAAATAGATTGACCAGGGCGATCTGGGAGAGCACCTAAAGCATCAGGGGAACTGAAACAGAGATGGGCAAGGAAGATCTAGTTCCTGGTCAGTAAGCTGAGTGGCGGTGACATGCTAGCTTCCTGAATGCTGCACAGTTAAGGGCACTTCTTGACAATGTATGACAGAAACCAGTAAGGGTAGCCCAGAGGCAGCTTAACCTATGCCAAATTAAAATCTTAACAATTCTAAGGAGGCAATGCATGCCTAACATTTGCAGTCAGAAAGCAAGAGCTCTGAAATTCTTTGAGGAAAAGTAGGGTAAGGGTAAGAATGTCTCAGTTCTGAGGAGACATGAGGGATGTATTCATTGGTTTGCTTATAGGCCAGGATAACAGAAATATGCACCCAAAATGAATGCAAAATGGACATAAATGAAAATGATACAAAACAACATCTTATTTGAAAATGATAGTTTTTTTTTAGAATCCATTTTCAGAGCTAAGATTTTACATCACATAGACTATTTCCTTTTTTTTTTTTAAGATTTATTCATTTATTTGAAAGAGTTACGCAGAAAGAGGAGAGGCAGAGAAAGACAGAGAGAGAGAGAGAGAGAGAGAAAGGTCTTCCATCTGATGGTTCACTCCCCAATTGGCCGCAACGGCTAGAGCTGCGCCGATCCAAGCCAGGAGCCAGGAGCTTCTTCTGGGTCTCCCACGTGGGTGCAGGGGCCCAAGGACTTGGGCCATTTTCTACTGCTTTCCCAGGCCATAGTAGAGAGCTGGATCGGAAATGGAGCAGCTGGGTCTCGAACTGGTGCCCATATGGGACACTGGTACTTCAGTTCAGAGCATTAACCCACTGTGTCACAGTGCCAGCCCTCACATAGACTATTTTCTACACTTTAGCATCCTCAAAGATGCCTGTACAGTTTATTATTTCCAATAATTAAAATAAGTGAGTTGACCCAAAGGATAGTGAATTATTACAAGCTTTCCCAAAATCATAGCTACCTTTCGTTCTCACTTGAGATAATAATGCTCCCCCAAAGAGAAACCATGTTAATACACAAACAGGAAGGACAGAAACAAAGACACAGTTTTCACGGTTTTCACGTGGGCTTCCAGCTGGCATCTCTAGAGCCTATAGCATTGAATTTCACAGGCTTAGAAATGTGTTCATTGGGACATTACTAAAAAAAGAAAATGAGATCAATAAAGCAGTAAATGAAACAATCGCAAATAGCTTAAAAATGATTCAGTGGGTCAAAATATTGAATTTCACTCAAGTAGAACATTCCATTGGCATTCATTTTGTGGTTTGCTATTTTATGAAACCCATTACCACAACTCACTTCTATTGCAATGTAGGACTGACCAACAAGGAGACACGTCAACAAGATGTGAATTACTCTGTCAATTCTCTACTTTAGCTAGACAAAAAGTGAGTGGGAGAAAGTGGATCTCTTGAGGTAATTAATATAAGACATTAAGGCAAGTGGCCAACTGCATATTTAAGTAATCAGAAGCTAAAAATGCCTACCCTCAGTTTATTACCTTCAACGATATCTGGGTACAGCACCATTAAAATGCCATGTACCAAGAACAAAACAAATTCTGGGGATAGCTAAACTGATGAAGATATATTCAATGGATGAGGCTTTTTGTTCTTAATGCAGTCAATCCAGCTGAGTAGCGCAATATGTCCCTTCTCCAATATTCCTATTATGGGTTTTCCAGTTATTATGATAGCACAGATGTCTTCAGTACTGAATAAGATCACAGAGAGAACACCCTGATCTCAAATATAGCCACAGATGTCTCATTTACAAATGACCTGTTGGAGTATTATAAATAAACTCTTCAAATTATGCAATAATGTGTTCTATCATTATATTAACTTTGAAATAATTTCAGAAATTTCCAGCTCTCCTGTGTAAATAGGACTATTTCTACATTCATGAAAACTAAACCAACTGATTGCTCTAAACAAAAGCTGAACCAGTTATTTGTAGCCTGGGACAAGGATAATTATTACCCTTTTGTGGGTGGTAATGGACATGTTTCATTGGAACTGCTCTCATGCAAATTTAAAGAGATTTTATTTCATGAATTTGCATTTGGCTTATTGATTTTAGTTCTGCATATATGGACTTGTCAAATTGAGTTTTGAATAGGGAGTCAGAAAAGGCAAACAAAATCATGAGTATTTAATAAAAATCAAAATATACAAATAAAAATTCATTTTCATCACTGTAAGTTATAAACTGCATATAAGTCAGGTCTCCTAGGTGAAAGCGGATTTTCATTTTAGAAAAGACTAGTTCAATTAGATTGCAAGGTTAATATTCAGTCAGAGGTTAATCACAT